TGCGAACCGGCCAGCGCCGCCAACGACGGCTCAAAGAAGTTCAACCGCAGCTCGTACAGCAGCGGCAGCTCCTGGCAGTTGGATGTTTGCGGCGGGGGAATGTTGGTGGTGGTGGAGGAGGAGGAGGAGGGAGCATGAGCGTTGGGGCTGTGCATGGAGAAGCAGGAGGGGGAGTACAAGAACGTACACACATCCACAACGAAACACACAAACGCACATGCACACACATACACACACACATTTACACGCACGCACACGTGCATACACAGTGCAATATACCTCTGGCAAGTACTCGTTCTCGTTGCTCCACGCCTGTTCGGCCTTGATCTTCTGCGCTTTTGCCTAACGAAGCACACACGCGCACGCACAACACATACAGAAAGAAAGACAGCATGCATGAGCACAGCTCAGCAAGAATCCACGAGGCTCGCTTCACGGGGTTCGCTGTACGGCGACGCATGTTCATCCAAACGACCACTCCACGCATGCGCACACACGCACTCGTACATACACACACGCATGCACACACACACACATGCACACACACACACATGCACACACACACACACATGCACACACACATGCACTCACACTCACACATGTAAATACATGCACTCACTCACACTCACTCACACTCACTCACATTCATGCTCATATACCTTGTCAATCTTGCTGCTGTCGGAAGAAGACGAGTTGGTGAGCTTGGCGTACTTGTCCTTGGCCTTCTCGCAGTCGCTCGCAACCTTCTCGTAGTGTTTGATGCAGTCGTTGACGTTGGGAAAGATCTTCACAAACTTCTTGAGCGGGTCGTGCAACGTGCGCTTGATCTGGTCGCTGAGGCGATGCGTCCCGAGGAAGACAATGCCCTCCGCCACCCGCTTCATCTTCTCAATCTCGCCCTGGCTCGGCGCCCCGACCTCGTCCTTCGGCTGCTTGAACAGCGCGATGTCGTTGAGGTTGTCGCGCAACCGCGTTCGCGCCTTGTTCATGACATCAATCGCCCCCAGATACGCCTTGCACGCCTTGAGTATCGCCTGCATCGTCGCCTCCATGCGCCTGTAGTCCTTGATTGACTGCTGCATCTCCGCCGGCACCAGCGACGACGCCTGCACCGCAGACGGCCGCGACCGCAACCGGAACATGCTGACGGGAGTGTCGAATGGGAGGAGGGTTCGTGCTGTGTGGTTGTTTGTGTGCGTGCTATGTGCTTGCCTTTGCTTGTTGCTTTGTTTGCTTGTTGCTGCTTGCTTCTTGCTTGCTTCTTGTTTTTATCGTTTTCACCAACAAAACAACAACAACAACAACAACACGCACACACACTGGAACGACCGCATCGCAACGAGCTGAAGCAAGCAAGCAAGGGAAGGATCAAGGAGGATGGCTGATCGACGGAGGAAGGAGAGGGGCCCACCGGGTGGTGGTGCGCCGACGAAGCGGGCAAAGACGCAGGAGAGGAGAAGACAGCAGCAGCAAGGGGAAGGCCTTGACAGCACCACGGTAGTGGTGGAGGAGATGCTGGTGCAACAGCAGCAAGAAGAAGGAGGAGGCGAGAACACATGGGACAACATCAGCCCTGAGGAACGCAGCAACGGTGCGTGTCTGTGTCTGTGTCTGTGTGCGAGTGAGTGAACATGCGTGTGCATGCGTGTTTACAACCTGTGTGTGCACATATGGGTGCACTCGAAGCGCTACATTGCGCGGCTGCTGCAAGCTCACGGTCGTGGGTTCTGTGTGTTGTGGTTGTCGGGCTTGCACCAGCTCTGCTGCGGGCGCGCGAGCGGGACACAACCGGCGACGCACACACGCTGGAGAGCGACGAGGAAGATGAGGAGGAGAAGGAACCATCCAACAAGTACGAGCTCACAGAAGAAGACATGCACGAGAAGACCGACGAAGAGGTGAGCCCTTCATACACACACACACACGCACACACATACCAACAGCTTGTGCGCATACATGATACGCACATGTACGCATTGACGCTGTTCGTGAGGACACTCACTCACCACTGCAACTGCGCGCATGTACACTCAGTTTCAAAACGGAGGGTACACCATCACAGGCTTCAACCTGGAAGAAGAGATGGAGGAAGGGTACGTGATGACACCGAGTGTGCCACAGTGCATTGCATTTGGTGACATTGGCAATAGCCGCTTGTTTTGACACGCTACACGCACCCTATAGTTCACGCAAACACACACGCGCGCACACACACACACGCACAATGTGGATGAATCCCTCGTGTGCAGGCACTTTGATGAGCAAGGCGCATTCCACTTCAAGAAGGATGAGGATCATGCTGGGGATGCGTGGCTGGAGGGTGTCGAGGTCTACAAGGGCCCGGTGCGTACTTGTGCGTGCACATGCAAAGGCCAATGAATATGTGTGTGTGTGTGTGTGTTCGTACATTGTTGCAACTGTCACTTGACTCCTACTCCATGCACGTTGCCTGTTCCGCCAATCACCAGGTGAAGGAAGGCGAGGACGACGATGGTGATGATGATGGCAAGGAGGCTGACATCGACCGCTTCAAAGTCATGGAGGAGATGCTCACATACATGCGCGAACACGAGACCGTCAACGCGGTATGTGTGTGCATGTTCCTATGCACGTCTGCATGTACAGTTGTGTTCTTGTCGCCGTGTCTTCTGCGCGTGTGAACACAGGACCTTCACACATACAAGCAGACAGACACATACAGACACACACACACACATACAAACAGACAGACGGACAGACACTTACAGACATAGACGTCATCATTGTGCATTCCCTTGCCTCACGGTACTGGTGGTGTGTGCACATCAGGCAATACGGCGGCTCGATGCAGAGAGCAAGCCCTCGCGCCAGACATTCAGGCAGAAGAAGAAGGAAGCAGCGGGCAGCGACACGGCAGGGAGTGCTGGTGGCGACGAAGACAAAGCAAAGGCGGCCCGCGAGAAGGCGGTACGCACGGTGTTCCGTTGTGTGTTTGTGTGTGTGTGTGTGTGTGTGTGTGTGTGTGTGTGTGTGTGTGTGTGTGTGTCTGTGTGTGTGTGTCTGTCTGTGTGTCTGTGTTTGTGTGGTTATGCTTCGTGCATGCGCACATACGTACGTGAGTGGGTTCACATCCATACATGCCTCTTCCCCTCCCCTTTATTCCTCACATCCTCCCCCCCCCCCCTTCGACTGCATCGAATTGGTTGATGGGTGCAGGGCAAGGACCTGACGCGGCTGATTGAGTTGGCGGACCAGCTCATGCAGGACGGCGTATTCACCATCTACGAGGTGGGAATATGGGAATGTGTGCGTGTGTGTATGGGGGTGTGCATACATGCCAGTGTGTGCGTGTGTGTGCGTGTGTGTGCGTGCATACAAGCCAGTGTGTGTGTATTCGTGTGTATGTGTGTGTGCGCGCACGGGGCTGTGTAAAAACGTGCTGGTCCCGTGATCCACGCTGCTGCGATTGACACATGTGCTTGTCGCTGCTGTGTTGTGCTTAGGACACGTACGAGAAGCTTGTGCACGAAATCAAGGAGAAGGACGTCGCCACTTTCGAATACAAGGTGGAGACACGCGTGTGTGTGTGTGTGTGTGTGTGTGTGTGTGTGTGTGTGCGTGTGTACGTAGTATGTACGTGAGAGTGTGTGTGTGTATGTGCATTGTGCACGTACGTGCTGTGCTCATGATCATCACACACATACACACAACACGTACAGTGGAGTGAGGACGAGGATGCGGAGGTGTACGGCCCCTTCACGGCGCAGCAGATGGCAGACTGGCAGGAGGCCGGCTTCTTCAAGTCAGGCGTGTGGGCTCGCCAGCTCAAGAAGGTGTGCATGTGTGTGTGCATGTGTGTGTGTAAGTGTGTGTGTGTGTGTGTGTGTGTGTGTGTGTGTGTGTGTGTGTGTAGTGTGTGTGTGTGTGTGTGTGTGTGTGTGTGTGTGTGCGGAGGATTCTTGAAGTGTGCAAGGGCCATGTTGATGGTTGTGGACACAACATTTGTGGACACCACGCGCGTGGTGTAATCACGCCAACCTGTCCTGTCCCACCTGCTCACCTGCCTCTCTTCTTCCCTACATGTGCACAGGGCCGCAATGCCAAGTTCTACCACTCCAGTCGCATCGACTTTGACCTCTACACATAACCAACCATCCATGTCGATGTGTGCGTGCGTGTTTGCTCTCTTTCGAAGTTGTCGTTGTGGGAGAGGAATGAAAACAGACATACACAAGCAAGTAAGCAAGAAAGGTTAAGACAAAATAATGGTGGATTGTGTTGAAGTGACAGGCGGGCATCATCCACCTGCAATCTCTGTTGGGAGGTTCCCGTGTGATCTTATGTACTCGACTGGCGCGTACACGCACACGCACACGCACACGCACACGCGCGCAGGCAGGGAAGCACACGCATGCAATGGACAATAGAAAGAATAAATACAAGTGTCACAAGTAAGTCAAGGAAGACAGCAAGCAAGCAAGGCAAGACAGCAACGGCAAAGGCTTAGCTGCTGGTGGTTACGGGAACAGGAATAGATAGAAAGATGTGTGGCGGGTGTCTGGCCACAAAGACAATGTTGGGAACAGGCACAGCGTCACCACCACCACCACCACGTTCATCACAGTTGTTGCTGTTGTTGTTGTCGTCGTCGTCGTCCTCAGCATCACGGCCATGTGCGAGGCTGTGCAAGGACTGGAGCACGCGGCGCAGTCGCCTGCCAACAGCCACGCAATCGTCTGTGTCGCAGTACACAGAGAGCACACACGCGCCAGCATCGCTCCACTCCAACGAGTCGCACTCCGCCTGCACAAGGACCAACGCCTCTTGCAGGTGCTCAAGCAGCTCCAGCCACCCCCGCCCCCGCGCCGCTGCGATGCTGTCGGCAAGCTGGGCAACGCTGGCGTTGTGGCGCGACAACGTGCCATCCTGCCGAACTGCACGCATCAGCGCCGACCACCACCCGCTCCCACCCGTCGTCGTTGCCGTCGTCGTCGTCGTCGTCGTCCCTGTCACCACACCATCGCCACCAACACCACCATCGCCACCAACACCACCAACACCACCACTTCGCCCGCCCCCGTCGCTGTGGTCGTATCGGTGCTGGCGTGTGTCCTCCGTTGGCGCCCACACCGCCAGCCAGCGCCCACGAATGCACTTTCGCCGCCCATCCCCGCCACGCGGCAACTGTCGGTCGAGCGCCGCCCGAGCACCATCCCACAACCGCCGCTCGCCAGCATCACAATCATCATCATCGCCACCATCATCACGGCCTTCAACATGGGCTGCTGTGGCAGTGCCGCGATAGTTGTGGTGTTGGCGCTGTTGGCGCTGTTGGTGCTGTTGGTGCTGTTGGTGCTGTTGTCGCTGTTGGTGCTGCTGGTGCTGCTGGTGCTGTTGGTGCTGTTGTCGCTGTTGGAGAGAAGCGCACCACCACTCGCTCGTGGAGGACTGATTCTTCATCACAGCCACACCGCCCTTTCTCTTCTTCCCGGTCCTGTCCCCATCCCCGTCATCACCTCCGCCAACGTCAGCGTCGATGGCCGCCACATCCAACACATCAGCTGCTGCCGTGGCCTCCTTCGTCTGCCCCCTGCCACTTGCGCTCACTGGCTGCAGCTGCGCCAGCACATTGCCGCTGCCTGCCAGCTGTGTTTGCGTTGGCGCCGTGCTGGTCGGGGCATGCGATGACATACTCGACAGTCGCGATAACGGTGGTGGGGAGCCTGATGATGGCGACGACGATACCAGGGGCGGTGGTTTCGAAGGTGGTCGTCGACAGGACGAGAGGCATGCTGCTGGTAGCGCAGGTGCATCGCATGATGTGTGCAAGGACGCCTGTGATGAAGCCGTCGTCGTCGTCTTTCCACCGCCGCCACCGACAGCAACATCCACCTCTACTGCCGAAGGGTCCACTGCCGCCACAACGGGAGTGGTGGTCGTGGTCGTGGATGTGGTGCTGCTCGTGGCTGCGATCGGTGTGGTGGGCACGTCCTTTGGCGGAGACGGCAATGCTTCCCCAACACCGCCGAGGAGCCGCAGAAGGTCCTCGTTCGTCCGTTTGTACTGCGCAGCACGCCCGCGCGCCATTGTCACCGTCGGCTTCATCTTCGCAATGGTGGTGGTGGTCGCAGTGGTCGTGGTGACACTCCTTGGTGCTGCTGCTGTGCAGCTGCTTCGAGGGCACGTCAGACCCGCCACCTTGTCGCCGCCAGGCATTGATGATGATGATGATGACGACGACGACGACGACGATGATGATGATGATGACAGTGATGGTGCTGGTTGTTTTGATGTCGACGCTGGCACCGGTCTTGATTCTCCTGGTGCTGGTGCTGTTTCTGATGATGACCAGATTCGTGATGATTTGGGGAGAGGATGGGTGGTGCGCGTGTGCACAACGGTCGCGTTGGTGCGTTTGAGGGGCGGTTTCTTCCTCTGCTGCCGGTGCCCAGAGGCTGGTTCTTCAGCACCATCACCACCACCAGTGTCGTGGTCGCCGTGACTGTGAGCGGTGATGACGGCTGGCTGGTCTGTGTCGACGAGCGGCTGCGTATCGCCAGCGACGTTCAGCGTTGCACTCCCCTCCTCCACAGCGCCCTCGTTCTCTGGCTCCCCTTTGCTCTGTTGAGTATCGTGTACGCACGAGACAGAGAGAGAGAGAGAGAGAACAGCGGCATAACCCCCAAGTATGGGTGAGAGCATCAAGACATGACAAGGTGAAGCCACTACATACCCACACACACACACACACAAGCGCGCGCACACAGACACACACACACACAGACACACATACACACACATACACACACATACACACACATACACACACATACACACACATACACACACATACACACACATACACACACATACACACACATACACACACATACACACACATACACACACATACACACACATACACACACATACACACACATACACACACATACACACACCACGCATGCTCCAAGCAGGTGTACATCGACGTACCGTGGGTGCGAACTTGGTTGAGAGCGCAGTCACACATTTCCCGGCAGGGCAGCGCGACTGAACGCGTTGACACTGATGGAGGCGTGTTCGCAGGTGGTGTGTGTGTGTGTGTGTGTGTGTGTGTGTGCACTGGGGTGAGACAATCACATGCATCAGAGAAAACACGTCGTCGATACAACAGCAGAAACACACACAACACGCACAATACGCACACACACGCACACGCATACACACGCCTCGAGAGCGAAGCCTATCTGTATTTGTACCTTACACGGTGACAAGTCTCGCTTGAACAACCGAAAGCAGTAGCTGCGAGCCTCAGTATCAGATACAGTGCCCACACCACCCCCATCGTCACCGTTGTCACCACCACCACCACCATCACCACCATCATCACCATCACCCTGTTCGTTGCCTCTGCTTGAAGGCATCTCATGATTACTGCGGCTGCTCCTCTCCGTTGCTGTCGCTCCAACACTTGCGGGCGATGAACCCCTTCCATCCCCCGCTTTCTTCCTCCTGGCATTCGCGTGTGCGCGTGTGCCTGATGTTGTGCCGGTCTGCGCATCCAGGTCACCGCACACACGTTGTGACGTCAGCAGTCCCTCCGGGAGCCTGTGCTGCATCACCGCAAGCAGCTTGCCGCAGATGTGCCACAGAGCATCCCACGTCTTTGCGCGGTACACGGCTGGCCCCTCCACCCACAGCCGCTGCGCTGTGAGCACGAGCAGCATGTAGCGAAAGCCGTCCGAGACAACGGCAAACAGCGGCCGCGACTTGCGTGCAGGCACAATTCCCTGCAAGCACAGCAGCTGCACACACGCCTGCACAAAGCCGTGCCTGAGGTCGATGCGCTTTGCCTCCAGTAGGCCGCACGGGGTGTTGTCTTTGTCGTAGAAGAGGTAATCGGGGCGGTTGCGCGGCATGTACACGGAGAACACGCTTCGCTCGCACCGGAACGACAGCCCCGCCGCCTGTGGTGGTGGTGGTGGTGGTGGTGGTGGTGGTGGTGGTGGTGGTGGTGGTGGTGGTTGAGTGGGATTAAGTTGGTGGAAAGAAGAAATGGGATACGGAGAGGATGAGCGCAAGCGACTTTGTCGATTTGGCGATAGTGCTGTTTGTTACAGCTTGCGGTTCGAGTTCCCTCCTCAAACACCACACGTGTTGGCGCACAACCCCACACAAACGCAAATGTACGCACGCTCACCTTGCAGATGTTTGTGACGACGGCGTCGATGAGGAGACGGCAGTCTGATTCGCTCGGCTCACGCGTCAGGACCTGCGCAAGACAGGGCTCCTCCTCAAACCTGGACGCGCGCCAGTTGGCCAGAGACGTCACCACCCGCTCAAGGGCATTCCTCACGCGCGTGCGCACGCCGCCGTTCACGATGCTTGGTGGCATCTCAAAGAAGTCAAAGCGACTCTCATCAAAGTGCTGCAGGAGCACGCTCAACGTCCACGCGCACGCGGCAGTCTCCAGATGGGACTGGTCCGACTCTGCAGAGAGATAGTCAATCCACAGCGACCGCAGCCGTTCAAAGTGGCGCGAACTCTCACCGCCATCCAGCGCCGTGGCGACAGTGCCGCGTGCTGAAGACGACGACGATGACGATGTTATGGCTGATGGGTGTTGTTGTTGTTGTTGTTGTTGTGGGGTTGTATTCTCTTGCTGCTGGTCATTGTGTTCGCGTGGGGAGCGGTGTTGTGCACTCGTTTGTCGTTGCAGCTCTTCCTTCATGGCCTGCAGCCGTCGCAGTTGCTGTCGCTTGAACATGAAGTGGTGCTGCGCCAAGCTTCGCGCCATCTCTGCCGCCAGCGTCCCTTCTGCTGGCGGCTCGCGCGTGCGTGATCGCGCGCCCAGCGTCTGTCGAAGTGACACGCCGCGGCGGTCTGCCGCCTGCCGGGTGACGATGTCGGCATGGAGTGTGGCCATGATTTGCTTCAACCATGGCTTCTTGAACAAGCGCAGCCGTGGACCAGAACCTCTTGTACTGCTCTTGGTGGTGATGTCGGTGGTGATGTTAGTGCCGCCACGACTTGCATTTGCGGTGAAGTCGGAAGCCGTGGAGTTGGGCCTGGGTGTGCTGGTGTAGATGTCGGTCATGGACCGTGCCCGCTTTGGAGATAGCGCTCCACCACGCATGCTGCTGTCGCTGCTTGCGCCGTCGCTCTTCGACCGTGGCGGTGGGCCTGTCCGTGTTGATGATGATGATGATGAGGAGGAGGAGGAGGAGGAGGAGGAGGAGGAGGAGGAGGAGGAGGATGTGTTTGCTTCTGGTGGTGGTGGTGGTGCTGTCGCTGATGGTTTGCGTGGCCGTGCATTAACGGCCATGTTTCTGCGCCTTCTGCCATGCTTGCTGCTGGTGGTACTGGTGGCTGAAGGCGACCTGGCTTCCGCACGAGGCCTTAGCACATCTGCAACCAGCCGGTGGCGTGGGAACCTGCTCAAGCCCAGCACCTTGCTGCGGGAGAGCCGCTTGGAGGACGACCCGAGAGGCGGTGGCGATGGTGGCGACACCATCCTCCACCAATAATGGCTGAGGGTCAACAGCCAGTGGTGGGCGGAGTTTGGGGGGGGGGGAAGAAGCGAAGGGGAAGAGGTGGACGGGGAAGGAGCGTATCAAACTCACACCGTCACACGATCATCAACAACAAGCCAGCAAGGCTGCTTGCTGAAAATCGAGGATGCTGGCTGACGATGATGTCAATGGCAATTCTTACACGCGCGTGACAGCGTGAAGAAGGAGTTTGCAAAAACGACTCGAGCGTGTTTGGGCACGTTACGTGGTCGTCGCTGATGACGTGATGATGAGGCCTGGTTCGAAGTGCGGTGGAGTGCACTGAATGGAGTAAACTGGGAGCCGTGATCAAGTGTGGTGCTCGCCGTAGCTGTCGTTGCAGTTGATTGTGTGGTGTGTTTGGATATTGGGCGGCAAGTGGTGATGGATGTGTTGCTTTAGCGTGGCGCGGTGAGTCCAGAAAACAAGTCGGTCGTGCATTGCAGATTCAACGCAGCAACAGCCAGCACGAGAAGGAGAGGCAACTCCACACACAACCCCCCCCCCCCCACTTCCCCCACTCCACGCACACACACGCGCGCGCGCGCGCACGCACATATTACCCCCCCCCCTTTCTTCCCAACACACAACAGGGGGCGGCCATGTCCACGACCGCTGAAGGGCCTTCGAGCGAGCCGACGTGCATGTCGCGGGTGCAAGGCCCCGTGCAAGCGGTGTTGCGGCCTGGGCAGTGGTGCTTTGGCGTGCGGGCCATTCGGCAAGGCAGCGAGCAGTGGCGCGCCTCTTGCTCCGTAGATGCGCTGGTACAGGCGCTCAAGACCGCGGTGGCAGACTTCCAGGAAGGGCGACCAGAGTCCGGACTCACCAACACGCGCAAGGTGCGCATCGCCAAGGCCATCAGCAATGACACGCGCGGCTTTGTTCGCATCGAGAACTACACACAAACATCAGAGTGGCTGGACGTGGTGGAGGTGCACATCAAGCCCGTGGCAGCGGATGCAAACGCGTGCACGGCATTTGTCAAGTCCTTCAGCTCCGGTTTCTTGCCTACCTGCATCCCGTGTGCCCCTCTCCTCAACATGGCCTTGTTCTGGATTCCCTTTTCCGACTTTACAGACAAGGTGGGCTGCCGTGTGTGTGTGTGTGTGTGTGTCTGTGTGTCTGTGTGTGTGTGTGTCTGTGTGTCTGTGTGTCTGTGTGTGTGTGTCTGTGTGTGTGTGTGTGTGTGTGTGTCTGCGTACGTGTGTGTGTATGCTCGTGTGTGTATACTCACGTGTGTGTACATCACTGCGTGCGCCAGCCTGCGTGTACGTTAGTGCCCGTTTGCACTCTTGTGCACGTGCGTGTGCCGTGTCCAAGCAAGCCTGCACGACTATGACCATTCCTACCTACACACAATAACCCACTTCATCTTCCTGCTGCATGTCACGTCCCACTGCCACTTCCTCATGCCATGCACCGAACCACCAACCAACCCATGCGCCGCAGGGTTCCCTGAACAAAGTACGCATCGAGGAGCTGCGCACCAAGCTGTCTGCCTCCATCACCGTCAGTGTCGAAACCCAGTAATGGGTGATGATGATGGGACAGGACACCCTGCCCTCCAGCCATTCCCTGTTTGTTGTCGCTGACCCATGTTTCATGTGGGCATTTGTTACCATCTGCACGCACACACACACACACACATGCACACATGCGCGCACACACACATATGCACACACGCGCGCACGTGCACTCTCTCTCATGTGCACTCGCCTTGCTCCACACTCTCGTGCACGCCGGCATAGTTCTTTGTTGCTTGTACAACGAATACAAGAAAGAGACTGTCCGCATGAACATCCGTGCCAACCAAACCAAACCACTACAGACACAACACACACAGACATAGCTGGGACAGATCTAGTGAAAATAGCCGGCCCACCAAACACGCCATCCGTCACCACAATACACTTCAAAGGCACGCAATAAGAACTTGCACACTCTCTGCCTCCTCGCACACACACACACACACACACACACACACACACACACACACACACACACACACACACACACACACACACACACACACACACACACACAAACAAACACACACCACTGCATATGACGCAATGGTGCTGCCACCATGCGGCACCGCCCCCTAGAAGGTAAAAACGGGCTCTGTGTCGTCGGCCCACGCGCTGTCATCCTTGGATGCAGACGTCGTCAGGATGTGGTGCGTCCGCTCATGATCAACATCACCAGCACCCACATGACCACCATCACCAGCATCACCAACAACATCGTCATCATCACCATCACCATCACCGCGGCCACCTGCAGTGCTGCCGTGTTGTCGTGCCGCCACACTTGCTGCGCGCCGCTCCTTGGCCTCCCGCTCACGTGTCATCTCAGACAGAAAGCTCAGCAGGTTGCTAGCGTCGGGGTCTGTCACCGTGTCCCGCTGCCACGCAGGCGTGCTGCCCTGCTCCCCAGACGTGCGCCGCGGCCGTGGCGGCTGCGACGTTGACGCTGAAGACGACGATACCCCGCGTGACGGTCCTGCGCTCCGCCCACGCGACCGACCACCTCGCCGACGTGCACTGTTACTGCTGTTACTGCTGCTGCTGCTGTCACCACGTCCACCGTTGCCAAAGCCATCATCGTCAACGTCATCATTATGAGCGTTGGTGGCGTTGTTGCCCTGTGGGTGTGCGCGTGTGATGTGCGCAACACCGCGGAACTCCCTGAGGCCGGACACATCTGCGCTGTCGTCGACAATCTCGAAATCGGTGATGGCGGCAACAGACGACCGCAGCGTCTTCTGCGTCACCCGCACACCGCCCACACCGCCCACGTCACTCTCGCCGCTCTGCTTCGGGCCCCCGTGCTGGTCACGCTCACGCTGTCGGGAGCGTGGCGGTGTTGGCTCAGCAAACACCTCCTCCACTGCCCCGCCTTCCTGCTGTCTGGTCCGAGCTGCGTCCTCCCCCTCCTCCTCCTCCTCTTCCTCCTCTTCCTCTGCACCCTCGTCATCACCCGCCAGTTGGCCACCACCAGCACCGCCATCACCAGGGCCTGGCATGTGCGCACCACCACCATTCTCGGCTCCAAACCGCTGCTGGTCGTACTGCTGGTGGTGCTGCTCGTGCTGGCTGCCAATGTGCACGGCCGAGAGGAACTCGGCCATGTCCACGCTGCCGGTGGGGTGCTGCCCCGCATGCTGCTGCTGCTGCTGCTGCGCAAACATCATCATGTTGTACCGTGCCGCCTGCTCCTGCTGCGCAACAAGCGCCTCCCATCCAGCCTGCCCTGTCCCGGGCACCGCTGCCGTCATCGCCCAAGTCGCTGCTGACACAGCTGGTGGTGCTGGCTGCTGGCCCTCCCGGTGCTGGTGATGTGGTTGTGGCGGCGGTGGTGGGCCGTGTGCGTACGAACGCGCGTGGAGATATGCACGCCCCGTGGACGCCAGCCCCTGCAGCGTGGCGTCGCGGGTGGCGGCGGTGGTGTGCGCGACGCTGTCCAGGTACTCTGGGTCGGTTGCATGGCGCGAGCAATACTCCAGCCCGTACATGGTGCGGGCTGTTGCGCACATGCGACAGGGCGTACCCACAGCCAGCACCCCGCTGCCGCTCACACTGTCGCTGCCGCTGTCGTCGCTGCCAGCCTGGTACTGGTGCTGCTGCTGGTAGAGGTGCGGCTGTGCGTCGTGACCAAAGACCGGCTGGTTTGCCGTGGGGGTGTAACGGCGGTGTCTTGGCACAATGGGCAGCGACGCCTGGCGCTGCAGTCCAGGCGTCTGGTGGCGGTCAGCGTCGTGCACGTGGTGGTAATACCGTCGCACAGGCACATGCCGGCGATCGTGCTGCTGCTGCTGTTGTTGTGTGGATGATGCTGTTGATGATGTGGATGAGCGCGGGTGTGCTGGTTGTTCCTGGCGGGAAGAGGGGAAGAGGGAAGGCGTGGACTGTGTGCCGTGCATGTCGCGCTGCAAGTGAGGCGCGGGAACACCTTTTCCGCCCCTTTCGCCTGCAGCTGCCGGGTGCTTGTTGGATCCCATGTGGTGGTGGTGGTGGTGGTGGTGCGCAGCCGCGTCGTTGGCCATGGTCGGTACGGGTGTGCTGGCGCCACTTGTTCCGTTTGGGCGAAGGCCCACGAGCGGGGAGCGCAGCACGGTGAGGCGGACTGTGCTGGAGTCGTCAAACAGGCGGTCCTGTATCACCCGCAGCGCATCCGTGTCGCTCAGGTGTTCTCGCGCCAACGCAAACCCGTCAATCTGTACCGTGATGGTGTGTATGTGAGTGGGTGTATGTATGTATGCGTGTGTATGCGTGTGTATGTGTGTGTATGCGTGTGCCTGTGTGCTTGTGCAGTGTGTGTGTGTGTGTCCATGTGTCTGTGTGTCTGTGTGTGTGTGTGTGCGTGCGCGTGTATCTGTGTGCCTGTGTCTGTCAGCCTCGCTGTCACACTGAGGCAGCAGAAAGGCGAGCTGTGTGCTTGCAGCAGCAGGACTTACGCGGATGAGCCTGTCGCCTACGCGAAGACGTCCATGACCAGAGCTAGTGCGTGGCACATCGGCCACATACAATCTACATGGCATGAAATGTCATGAACGTAAGCGTGCATGCATGCGTGTGTGAAGGTGTGTAAGCGTGTGTTTGAATGTGCGTGTGCGTGTGTGTGAGTGTGTGGGTGTGGGTGTGGGTGCGTGTGCGTGCGTGCGTGCATGCAGCGTGCGTGCTGAACAAGAGCGACAATGTTCGCGCACAGACACAGCACATGTGATGAGATAATACACACACAACACACGACGATACACTCACACACACACATGCACACACACAACATGCAGACAAGCACATACCACACACACACTCACGCACACCAAACACACACACACAACACACGACGATACACTCACACACACACATGCACACACACACACACACACACACACACACACACACACACACACGCACGCACGCACGCACGCACGCACGCACACGACCTACCCGTCGTAGCCGGAATTGCTGCCGGTAATAGTCACGCCAAGGCCGGACCTTGGCGACTTGCGCAGCTCAAACGTGAGCTGAAGCGTGTCTGATTCTGTGGCAAACGGATCAATCACCGTCCTTGGGTATGGAAGCAGTGCCATGCTCGTGCGTTGCTTGCTGCTTGTGACGTCCTCTGAGCCAGACATGCACGTAAAGTAGACAATGTCTCCGACCAACGCACGCAGGCAGTGCAGCCCAGCCGCGCGCTGTGCTCTGGTCTCGTGTGCACCCGCCTTCTGCCTTCCTCCCTTGCTTGCTTGCTTGCTTGCCTTGCTCCCCTTCCTTCCGGCTTTCTTGCTTCTCCTTGTGCTGCGCTCGCCACCAATGACTTCTTGACCTGTGAATGAATGGACGACCGTTGTTCGTGGCAGCACGGGGGAGCGAGCAACGCAGCAACGCGACCCAGCTCCCAGCAACGGCACCCGGTGGCGTGGAAGCACGGGAAGAAAAAAGGTTGTGTGTTCAAAAGGGGGCAAAACAAAACAGCTGCCAGCCAGTGGTAAACAAACATTTGCCGACAGCACCAGTGGGTAAAAACAGACAAGCTGTGTGGGAATCGAGCGACAGATTGTTTGCTTGGCCCACACACCACACGTCACGGCCTCCTCCACTCCACACACCACTTCACGCACTTCACGCACCACTTCACGCACTTCACGCACCGCTTCACGCACTTCACGCACGACTTCACGCACCACGAACAACGGCAGCAACAGCAACAAAGGGCTGACCAGTCAGACGTTTCCGGAAGAAGAGCCCGACAGCAATGGAAGGGTGGGTGCGTCGCAGGGCCGATCTGCGACAATGGATATGGAACACTCGCTACTTGGTGCTCGACCCTCGCACAGGACTCCTACACTATTTTGGTGCGCGCATGTGTGTGTGTGTGTGTGTGTGTGTGTGTGTGTGTGTGTGTGTGTGTGGCTGCGAGTACGTGCATCGTTTTGTGTGCGTTTCATTGCTTCTTGCTTGACGTGGGTGTTCGCATCTCACTCTCAGCTTGCTCGCTCGCTCACCCGTGTGTAATTGTGTTCCATGCACACACACACATGCACACACACACACACACATGCACATGCACATGCACACACGCACACATGCACACACACACGCATCCTTTGCTCCGTTCAATACACACACACCCATCCAACAGGTAAAGAATCGGACCGCAGGCCAAGGCGAACGTACTTGCTGCATTCTGGGTGCAACGTAACAGACCCCGTGAACAAAGACGGCGATGATGCAGAAGGATCCTTTTGGTCCTTCAAGCTCACCCTCACCAAACCCGGCCGCGGCAGCAGCGGCGGCGGTACTGCGGCTCCTAGTGCCGGGACAGGTAACACCAGCGCCACCAGCACCAGCCCAGATGCGCAGCAGTCGCCGGCCTCACAGCATGCGCGCTACGTCTTCGATGACTACGACGAGGACACACTGGCGGATCGCGACACAGAGGAAGAGTTCCACGACGCCCTTGACAGCCATCGCCAACAGCAGCACCTGCGTGGTGCAAATGGTGACATCACAACAGCAGCAACAACAACAAACCCACAAGCACAGGCGCATCTACAACCACCCGCGGGCAACAACAACACAGAGGCCAAGCAACAGCAGCACCAGCAGTACCAGCAGCAAGGTCAGCGCCGTTTGGGCGAGAGCGGACCGGGGCAGCGGGTGAGCGTGAACGGCACCCCAGCACCAGTCGACAAGGACGTCTCCGTTGAGCAACTGCAACCGCAGCAGCAACCGGCCCCGCCATCGTCGCCAGTAGCGCGCCCAAAGTCGCCGTCCACGGCCAACACGGGCACACGTGGTCGCTCCAAATCAAGCCCGCTCACACGTGATGTCTCAACACCAGAACTGCAACCCCGGCGCCTTCAACACCAACAGCAGCGCCAGCAACAGGAGGAACCACAACAACCACAACACCAACAGCAACCACAGCAACAGCAACAAGAAGAGCCGCGGCCACAGCAAGGCAGAGACAAGGCGGCTTCATCGCCGCCACCGCCGCAAGCAGCAGCGCAGATCATTGGCAGCATGACAGCAGCAGCCATGCTGGCCACACCGCCGCCGCAGCCGGGCAAGAAGCCCGCCAAGGTGGTGAAGAGCGGGGCTGTGCTTGAGCTCGGTGTCAACTCACGCAAGGAGGCCGAGCAGTGGGTGGTGGCACTGCGCACCGCCATGCAGCGAAACCCCGAGGCCGCCACCGCACGCACAGCAACACCGCCGCCGCAAGGCACCGCAACAACAACAACAACGGCAAGCGCAACACCAACAGCAACGGCCGGTGCTGTGCGGGATGAACAGCAGCGGAAGAAGCGGCGCGGGCGGTTTCTGCGGCGCCAGCGCTCAACACCGAGCACCGAACGCACGGCAGCACAGCAGTACACCGAGGCAGCAGCACAACCACATGCACAGCACCGCCACCGCCGCACAAGCAGCGCAGACGGGGCCGGGACCGGTGGCGATGGTGGTGATGGCGAGGATGGTGAGGACGGTGAGGTGGAGGAGGCACAGGCAAGAGGTGCGGTTGCAACAGCAACAGGGACTGCGCCCACCATGCGGGCAGCCGCTGGTGCCACTGACGATGATGACGATGATGATGGTGGCTACAACGGGCTCGGTGGAGGCGGGCTCGGCCGCATGTCCATGCATGCGGAGGATCTTGGCTCTGTACCGGAGCAGCTGCAGGAGCTCGTGGATCACCGAAACGACGAGTCACCACTGCGCGCCGTCAATGTCGTCGTGCACGATGTCGTGTCCGGGCTGACCGTGTACCGGGAGGTGGAGGAGGTGCCGAGCGTGGCCCAGTACCATGCCACGATCGAGGCAGACAACCGCCACACGCTGCGGCGCATGGCTGCCACCGTCATTGTGCTGCTCGCCTGCTACCTCCTGCTTGAGCACGGCCTCTCCGTTGTGTCTGTTGCTACCGCCCTGTGTGCCGCCGGTGGCGTGTACTGGCTGCTGCACCACGGCCCGCGCCGCCTCACCCGTGCCGGTGGCCTTGGCGGCTCCCCATTCGCGTCATCATCGCCACCGTCCTCGTCATCCTCCAAAGCAACAACAACAACATCATCATCATCAGCCAGCCGCCGTGCCCGCAACCGCACGCCCGTGTATGTTGCCGGCCACTCTGTGCGCGGAACACCAAAGGAGGTGCACGCAGCGCTCATGTCTGTGCGCGATGGCCGCGTGCTGTGGGACGGCGCTAACATCTCCGTCACCGTGCTCGAAAAACAGGACAAACACGTCGACATTGTGCACATGGTGCAGAGGCCGGTCAAGGCGTGGCCCTTCTGGTGCCAGCCGCGCGACTGCGTGTGTCTTCGCTACTGGGCGCGTGAGGCAGATGGCTCGTACGTGATCGTTCTCCAGTCGACAGAGCACCCTGCCGCGCCGCCGCGCCAGGGCACCGTGCGGGCTGACGTGCTGCAGTGGACATTCCTCATCTGCCCGATGAAGCCTGAGTATGCGGAGCGCGACCACGTTGTCCGCAAGTCGTATGTCGTGGAGACGGTGCAGTACAACCCCAACTGGCTGACGACGTGGAAGGTGATTCCGCCCATCAACTCGTTCCTGTTCATCCGCCCCATGATGACCAACCTCCTCTCCCTCAGCGAGTACATGGCCAGCCGCGACTTTGTTGACGCCGTCACACGCGGGCGCATCGCCGCCGATGAGACGGACCTTGCTTTCCTCTCCCCGTCTGCCTCGCACGTGCCCCGCGGCTTGGGCGGCGGTGGCGCGAGTGACGGCGATGTGAGTGATGGCGGGGACGATGAAGCAGAGGGTGAGGCTGAGGGAAGTGGCGGCGGTGGTCGTGGTGTAAAGCAGCGACGGAAACGCAAGCAGCGCAGCACACACAGCAGCAGCAGCGGTAGTAGTGGTGATGGTCGTGGCGGTCGTGGCGGTCGTGGCGGACGGAAGCAGCGGCAGCGCGGTGCTGCAAGCCGGCGGCCGCCGAGCTTCTTCGAGCCGCCGCAGTTCCCTGTTGGCGAGGACGGCACCATGCACAACATCCCGTTGCTTGCATGCACCACGCCCACCAACGAGTGGAAGGAGCCCTTCTGCTGCAAGTTTCGCGTGCGCGGGCCAGACTATCTTGAGACGCGCGTGAAGGTGACGGCAGAACCCGCCCTGTTCCATCTTGTCGCTGTTGACAAGTTCAGCTTTGAGGACCCGAGCGAGCAGACACACATTGCCCCGCGCAGTAGTAAGTGCAAGTTTGACCCGTCGCTGACGGCGGGGGAGCTGGCGGCCGCGTACACGCTGGTGGTGTGCATCACGCCCCCAAGCACGCGCAACATCTCCATCGTGCTGTACTTCCGGCCCCTCGATCCGCACTGGCGCCATCGCAACCCGCGCTTCACGCGCCTGTTTGACCGCTTTGTTGAGGGCGATGACGCCTACCGAAACGCGCGGTTCAAACTTCTTCCGGACATTGTGAAGGGCCCGCTGGTCCTGCGCTCCGCTCTGCGTTCGCGGCCGGCCATTCCCGGGAAGAAGGTTCCCATCGGCTACTACCGCGGCGACAACTGGTTTGAGATTGACATCGACGTCAGCAAGGCGGGCAAGGCCAAGTTCATTACGTCACTCGCGCTACCGATTGCAAAGAGCATTGTCGTGGACCTTGGGTTCCTGATTGAGGGCCAGAGCCCGGAGGAGCTTCCTGAGCAGATTATGGGCGCCATTCGCTTCAACAAAATGGATTTGTCGCAGTTGACGCGCATCCCCGCAGGCGGTGCCTTGGATGGAGAAGAGGGGGAAGAGGAGGCGAAAGGGAAGGAATCTTCATCGCAGTGATGCTCAGTGGTTGAGAGGAGATTTAATTTGTATGTGTGTCTCTGTGTGTAGTGTGTATGTGTGTGTGTAGTGTGTGTGTGTGTGCGTATTATGCGATGCTGTTGACACGATTCGAGCGCTTACTCGTGCGTGTGTTGGTGTGGCACGAAGGAATTATTGACTTTGCTTGAACTGTTTGACCGATTGTGTGTTGTTTATACTTGGCCTCCACGATGTATGGTATAGACACGTGAAATGACATGGTTTGAACACGGGGTGGGGTGGTCGCTGTGGCAACTTAGCCTGCCTTGCGTCAATGCATTTCCCATGGGCCTTGATGCGCACACTGTAGCTACTGACTGCCTTCCGGGGTGACAATGAGGATGGATGCCTCGCTGCCGCACGCAGCGCCCAGCACACGCCCGCACACGAGCCGGGTTGGCGTGGACACAATCGCGTGCGGGTGGTGGTTGTTGTCCGCGTGACCGTGAGAGCCGAGGGCGCCGGTGCCCCACGTGTACGCGCCATCATCCAGCGCCTGGCAGCAGCCGCAACGCAGGGCGGGCGAGATGAGGTGACGGGTAGGAAAGGGGGTTCATATGCCTGGGTGTGTGTGTGTGTGTGTGTGTGTGTGTGTGTGTGTGTGTGTGTGTGTGTGTGTGCGTGTGCGTGCGTGTGTGTGTGTGTGTGT